AGGGAGGGAAAGCAGAGACTTGAAAATGGTAAAAGTCTGTTCCCTACATTTTTATGATGCAAAATCCTCTGCTTCCATCCTAGTTTGCTAATGTGAATATGCATTTTTTTGTAATGCTTTCATTTGATATGGACTACCTGGGCTGAAAGATTGAATCTTGGAATATGACAAATGTGTTCACTTCTATTTTGAAGAAAATTTAGCACATGGTATACTATTTGTAGGCTTTATTTCTAACATTTTGTGTTTACCAAATATAGTCCCATCAGCAAGACCTTTTAAACAGGTGATAATTATGTGGTGTTTTATTGCTCATAACAACTCTAGTTTTGAAATATATAAATTAGTGATCTTTATAGGATCAGCTTCACTCTTTCTCCTTGTTTAAACCTACAATTATCTCTTTACTAAAAGTCTAACAGTTCCCTCATTAATTATTTATAATAATGCTTCTTGGACTTGCTTAGAGAATTAGCCTTTGTTTTTTCTTGATTCAGGCATCTGTATATATTTTTTCATTTTAGAGAGTAAACTGCACCGTTTTCCTGCTGTTCAGTACAACTTTCTGTGATGAAGTGTTCTTTGTGCACTTGTGCTGTATAGTAGCATTAGCCAAAGACAGCTTGAGCTTTTGAGCCCCTGAGTGGAGCTGAAGCCATGGATGAACTGAATCTGAAATTTAATTTAAATAGCCACGTGTATCTGGTGGCTTCCTAGTTGGACATCACAGCTTTTAATTATTAATGCCCCAGGAATCCTTCACTAACCATCTTGAGTCTGTGCTCATAGTTTGCAGCTCTTCTCAGCCACAGCACTTGTTACAATTACAGTGTAATCATAACTTTCTCATAGAAATTCAGTGCTAGGCTGGAATCTGCATGAGGGCAGAGGCAAATCCACTTTCTTGGCATTTGATAAGCCCAGTTTAGGGCTTGGTAAGAAAGGATAAATATTTGTTGAATGCATAATTGAACTTGGAGGCAGGTGTCTTACTTTGATATTCTCTTTAGGGCCTAGGGGTAAGTGTTCAATGCTATACATACTTGTTTAGTGATTGAATAGATGTTTTGTGGGTAGCAAATGAAAGGATCATAAGAGGTGTGCTTTTCACATATTAGTCAGTCTTATTTTGGAATTCATGAAAATAAAGTCTCTTGACAGATTGCTGTGGGAAATTGAATGAAGGGCCTTATGATTCTGAAGATTGTGGTTTTCTGTTATTTGAGCAGCTTGAGGATGCTGCTCTTAGCTATATTCTATAAATCAGTGAGGCTCTTTCTAGGGTCCTGTTAGCCCTGAACCACTTGGAAGAAGTTGGTGGACATTTCTTACTACTTCTGTGATGAGGCAGAATCAGGGGTCTCTGAAAAATCAAAAGATAGTAGAGCCATGTGTGGTTCCTTAACAGTTATTTGTTAAATTTTGTTTCTTACCTCTCAAGGAGGCCTCATAGCCTTTGCAGAATATAGGCTCATATTTACTCCCAAGCAAGCAGAGGGCAGCAAGTAGAAATCCCGAGTTAGGGAGAAGCTGTAGTGTGAGGGAGGGCTGTCCTTGGGCTTGGAGTTGACAGTGTTTGAGGAAGATCACAATTAGTTTTCTTTCTGTTTATGTGGCAAGGTTCATGTCAGAATGTTCAGAGTATTGGGTGACAAGTAATTTTGTAGCATCCAAGAAAATTTAAATACCTTCAAAATAATAACAACTTATTTAGGTTATTTAATATGCAATATCTCTGTTTATATAAATGCATA